TAGAAAAGTTGATATAAACTCTTCAAATCTTCGATTAAGATGGTTTTTGGACTCTTCCAAGCCCTTACTTGCTTCGAAAGTAGTGTTCTCTTCTTTTCAGGTCGAGATTGTAGCTGGGGAGGCAAAAAGAAGCTTTTATATCGTGTAAAATTTGCTCCAAAGATCAAAATATCCTTATAATTTTCGCCCAGAAATTTCTGCTCTCGCGCCGCGCGCGCGCACCATGCGCTCTGCATTTGATCTTGTCCAGATGAGCGCACATTAGAGGGAAAATGCGTTATTTTTGCACTTTGTCCTTTTCTTCAATTTGAGTAGATTTTCATCCCAAAACTTCAAATATTCCTTCAATTCTTCTTTCAATTCCATATCAACCAAAGAGCATCAATTAGGCACAATTTTGGTGAGTTTTAACCATTAAACTATTCAAGAACACTTGAGAATGAGGTTAAATTACTATCAAAATATAGCGAATTACGCCAAATATCATGCACCTCTCTAAGTGAGGTACGGAGTTTAATCTTATTTTTATCTTGTTGTTTTTCCTTTTTTAAGAATTTGGCCGAGCTACAAGGATGGGCATGTCTAGTATCACTTCTTGCATTTTAATTAAGTATTCTTTTTCTTTTTTTTGTTTGGTTTATTTTTTTTAAATGTTGACACATTGAAATCTATATCCTCATTTTGTCACCGTAAAATTTTTATATAATCAAATCAAATATAAATATTAAAACTAGCTAGCCGTGGATGATGTAGAATATAATCAATGGGTCCAATTAATACCAGCATTTTACATATATACATGCTCTAGAGATCTTGGATTTGCCTTTATATTAGGGATAAACTTTTGGTAACCTTTGTTCTATGTACACTGAAGAGCCCAATTTCAACTCTTGGCACATTCTTTTTTTTTGGAACTCTTTGTCCTCTAATTTTCTCGGCATATTCATCTAGGACATCATCAGAATCATCTTCACTCGAGAAAAAACTCCAAATTGTTTTATTGAACTCCTTTTCTAACGTATAGCCATATCTTGGTATAAAGAGTGGTGTTGATGTGTTAAAGGGTGACCTTACGGTCTAAAGGTTATATTGTTTTCCAAGATTATTATGCAGGTAATAACGGTAAATTGTCCGATAGAAGTAATTCGACCAACAATTGCACAGGCTTGATCGTTTGCTGACGATTGCTTAGTAGGTACAAGTTCCATATGCTCTGACATAGTTAGTTATTCATAAAGCCTTGAGATGTATCATTGGTCTCCGCACGTACTAATTGTCTCTTGCCATTTGTGGTCGACTCTAACGTACATCAACGGACCATGACTTTAATTTTATGGTTTACCTTTTTACTCCATCCATTTCTATTTAGATAACACATTTTACTTATCAAGAGTTAAACCAGGTAAAATTTGATTAATATTTTAAAATATATTTGTTATTATATTGACATGATGAAAAAAATTGCAACTTATAATATTTTTCGTATAATTTCTGAATTTCTAACTTTTAGTTTTAAAATACTAAATACTGAATTGAACTAATCTAATTCAGATTTTAAGTTTAGTCAAATTGACTCTCGATAAACAAAATGTGTCATCTAAATTAAAGTAAGAAAGTAATTTTATGTTGTAAAATTAAGCAAGTGGGACTCATGATTCCACTTCTCAAGCAGTAGGAAGCCTTACATAAGTAGTGTTGGTTATACGACACATAAAATAAAATTCTAGACCTATGAATCGTAATCTTTTCCACCAAAGAATTTCTCATGAAGCATTATTAATTGAGACAAAGGGTGACCTAGTCATATGGAGCACCCCAAAACCAACTATGTGTAACATTCTTTTGTCCATTAGACCAAAACATTTATTATCAAACAAGAAATAGACATTAGCAAATGTCACGAAATCGATATGTTTAGAGTAATAACATAAACATACTGTCGCTCTCTGTAATATCTTTACCACATTAATTAATTAAAGTAACAAACAGCCTATTTGATGTTGTCAAAATGAAAACTAGATAGTTACATTCTCCGTGTTTCTCTGCATTAGACCTTTTAAACCAAACGATAACACATTACACATGGCTGGCTATCGCAACATCTTCCACCCCAAAGTGTAAATAAGATGATTAAGTGTAAACCAGTGAAAACCGTACTAATATTTTAAAAATATATAACTACTCCATCTGGCCATATATATAATTTAAAAAATGTGACCGTCGTTTGAATTATAGATGTATTTAGACATTGATCTTTAAATTTTATGAAATATAACTTGTATTTTAAAAACTACATGAAATTACAATGAGTCATAATTTCATATCAAGCAATTCATCACTTATGCACTAACCTTAGCTGGTTGAGATGAGTTTATTTGAATTAATTATATTCATTCTATTCAATTCTATTCGAGTCCATTTTATTTTAATATTTTGATCTTCTATTCATTTAACACTAAACGGAGCACTTTAATACATTCCTAGGTCAGTACGTCCATCGAGAGTTCGAGACTAAATTTGATATATACTCTCTCCGTCCTATTTTAACTATCGCTTTAACTTTTTCCACGCTCATTAACAAAATAATAAACATAAGGTTTAATTTACTTTGCTAACCCTATTAAATATTTTTTGAGAATTGAACAAGTATTAAAAAGAACTACTACTTCTTTAATATTAAGGGTAAAGTTGAAGATAATTATTTGGAATAAATTAAGGTAAAGTTAAAATGGGACGGCGGGAGTATAACTGACAGATGCTCGGAAAAAGAAAAAAAGAAAAAATAATCGACCTCTCAACCTTCTCTATACAAATTTTGAGCTAGCTTATGCTTTGTTTACACAAGGGAAGTTGCAAATCACGAAATTTAAAAGCTGCGAATTGTCTCTTGTCTGAATAGTAATAACCTCATCTTTCTTAAGAGAAAAGAAAGGAGTACAATTTTCCTATTATATAATTACACATCTCCAAACCATTCACTCCCCCCCGGAAAGAGGCAAGTACTGTATACTTCAGTAACTTATTAAGAAAATCAATTATATTAGGAAATTAAACATACAATTACTATGCTTATCACCCCGAACAAGTTGGCTCATATATATATATATATAACTCGCTGACCATGCTATTCCATTCAAACCCATTGTTAATATTACGAGAATACAAACATTTAAAGTCAACGCAGAAATTTTATGTACATGAAAGAGAACCCTTATCAACCCATCAAACACAGAAGCTTAAAAAATGGCAGCTTTTGCGAAATCGTAATCTGTAATTATCAGTCAAGTTTTTAACTTTTTCTTCTTTCCAGCCATAGAAAACCAGCTCCTGAAAATCACGACAAGGGCGTCGCTGAGGCACCCAAACAACCAAAAGCACTTCTCTTTGACCTTGATCAACAAACTCCGGTCGGCCTCCGGGATTTCGATAGGCTGTAGATACGCCCACGCCGCCTGCTGTAAGAGCGGGTCCTTCATCGGAATCTCTCTCCAGCTTTCCTTGCGATTAATCATTGGTGATATAACCGACGGCGGTGATTCCGGCATGATATCCTTAAGGCTGATGTAGGCCAGTGATTGAAGAGTATCCATCTCTATGTCCGAGAATTCGAATTGCACACTGGACTTATTATGGAAGCCGTCGCAGTGAAAATCAGAGAATGACTTTATTAAACTAGTTTCCATATTCCCAAAGGACTAATAAAAAAAAGGTACCTGCAGCAGCTAGCTTTGTGTACCGAAGAGGGGTACTAATTCTGTAAACTGAGCTGTTGCTGAACTGAAGGAGAAGGGTAATTTTGCTAGTGAAAAGCTAAGAAAATGGAAGAAATGAGGTAGAATGAAGTTTTTAGGTGACTTATGTGCAGTGAAGTGGGGTCCATGCGCAGAGACGAAAATTGGTCTTTAGATGGACAAGTGTACTGTTTAGTCGTGTGAACTCGTGTCTTGTCTGTACTTTCTCTCGCTTCTTGCTGTTGTTACACTTGCACTCTCACTCATCCACAGGAATCACCTTCACATCAGGATCTAAAGAGTCACAAGGTTTCCAACTTTAGAACTCTGAAAAAGACACTCGAAGACAATTACTATCACCCGTCCTCTAACGTTGTCTGCTTTGGTTTTTGACCAACGTAAGAAGAGTACAAGCTATTCTTAGTTCCCGTCTCCTTGCGCACTAAGCCTTAAGGAATGCAAGTTTACGGCATGCAGTTACCTATTGGGTACCTCAAATTGCGAGAGAGCCTAAGCTTGGCGAACTTAAAAACACTGACCTGTGAGAAATTGCATGATGGGATTCTGCTTACAAAACAATTGCAAAAACTGGTAAATACTGCAGGTTCCAGCTATGTAAGGAACTAACCCTTCCTCTGTGCACCCCAATTATACTGTTTCAGCAGTAGGAACTCAAGAGGCAAAAATAAATGATTCCTTCTAATTGTGTAAAGAAAGAATAAATTACTACACTTTATGATAATAAAGATCCATTTAACAAATAACGTTACCACTCGCTATGTTGCTCTGGAGTTTGGTTGGAGTAACAAATGCATGGGATAGTCTCCTAGTGTTCTGATTTTAGATGCTGAACTCGCATAATACGCATGGAATAATGAAAAAAACTGCAACATGGCATAGAAGCAATGGAGAAGGAATTTCCAGGTCATGTAGAAGGGTGGAGAAGAAACTAATGCAGCGTCGCAGTAGAAACTGAATCTTCTGCATTGCATCACTCTTAGATTTATATTCCAAATGTTAATAAACATTGTTAACTATGTGACTATTGGCCGTTACCATCAGCGAGCACATCAGACACGTCATTCACCGAAACATTCAAATGAAAACAAAATCCACATACATTTGTACCACAGTCAATAATTCCCCGAGTATTGGCTAAATCTAATAACCATGGAAATTCTTAATGTACCTTCCCCATGAAAGCAGATCAAATAAGAAAGAATGTCAAACATACTTCAAGAAAAGAAATTACTTCCTTTTTGAACCCGATGAATTTCTCCTCCTTTTTTTTTAAGAATTATATATAATAGGTGCAGAAACTACTGCTGGACAAAAGTACAAATGGAAATTTACACTCAGAATTATGATACAGCATTCTCCATACAACATACACTTTAGGCATCACGTCACAACTCTGACTGTCAAAATTTCAATTACTATAAACGGTGACAAATTATGGCAGGATAAAAAGATGCACATTTTACCTTTTTGAATAGACACAATTCGAACCCCTCCATCCAATGAACTACTAAGGTGCAATTACTATTACTGCTCTCTCTCATCACCCATCTTACTAAACAATATCTCATTCCCTCCTAACAGACCATCAATTCGTAACCTCCTAAAAGAAAAGGTAGATCATTAAATTATGAGACACCTAGCTGTCGTGGGTGCTGAATTAATCCAACCCAATGGAACCTTACCAAGAAAACTTTAAAATGAGGAAAAATTACTTCTCGACCCAAGAAGCAAATGGTGAAACCTAACTACCCAAGACAAATGCCATCATGCCTTTTCAGGACCCAGACAGAAAAACTAAAATATGGATGTCATAAAGCAACCTGTGCAGTAGATGTCTCAAACCTTTGCTTCTCTGCTCCTCCAAACAACGGCTATGCAGACAAACCAGCTCACCGGAAATTTGGAGAAGTATAGCAAGCTTCAACCTTCAAAGAGCATGTTTCTCCAGGATGAAAATTCAACTGCAAACTTGTGCTTGCTCCAACATGCATTGTTCAACAACAATCAGACATTGGTAAACTGGCACCAATATAAATCGGAGAGATGCATGGCTCTGAAGCAACAGAGGAGCGATGAGCTCTAGCATTGAACACATTATACTTTTTATACTTGATACTTTAACAGCTTGCCCTTCACAGAGGGCTCCAAGGCAGACATGCACTGTTCCCAAGCACCATTCTTGAGCATCTGACCAATCCCAGAATAATGCATTAGATATCTTTGTATGGAAGCAATCTTTCCACTGCACGCAAACGANACAAATTTCTTTCCACTGTCGGAATACAGCAATGAAAACGGAGTACTTACATGCCAACTTGCAATGGCTTTGCACATGAAGACAAGTGAATTCAAAGCACCAGATGGATTGGCCTTAACCTGCAACAATCAAAAGAACCAAGTAAAGTTCTGGACAGTAGCTAACAACAAAAGTTGTAACTGTGTGCAAGTTAGGGTTGCTTGTTTTTCTAGAAAAATCATATTAATTTTATATAACACCATAGCTTGAGATTTGCCATTCGTTGGTTTTGCAAATGCCAGCGCATCTTTACGTAGACATTTTTCTGATTATATAAATGATAAAGCACTTCTGTCTTGACATCTTTTGTTGATAATACAACTCATAGAGCACTTCTAGTACAAACTTCCATTTTACATAAGTCGCCTGCCCTTTTCAGAGTTAATGAGCATATAGACGGTGCAGTAGATTGATCCTTTTAGGTGACTGCCATGCATAAATGGTCAAGTTAAGAGGAAACACAAGTTTAACTTAATGAACTTCAGGATTCAGTTTTGTCAATCAAATCCAGCCTGTGAAGTTGAATAATCAAATTTTTCAGTTCCTAACACGAAAGAAACTTATTCATATACCAATATCAAGTTTATGATGACCTGAACCAATGGGTAAAATAGGAAAAGACAGAAAATACCACTGCACATAAACCGCGAAAAGCCTCCTCCTTTTCAATATCATCACGTATCCTGCCACAAAATGACCACCAATTGTTGGTTATCAGGCAGAGGCACTTTTTATATTGGGATAAGCTGAACCCAGATGGCACATCAATGTTCAATGTTGAAAACCATGACTAACACAACAGCGACTAGGATTGCAGTGGAAGAAACAGTGATGCTTTACTCAAAGAATCAGACACTAACTATTGCTTTCATGAATTAAAAAGCAAGACCTGGTAATAATTTTCAGAATGTTAAAACTTAAACGATAACACCATCTTGTTCAACGACTTCTTCCACCTTACACCTTTATCTTTTAAAATTCAATGAAACTTAGAAAAGGAAAAATCCAAAACAATCAAACCACCTGGTCTTCGACCTCCATAAGTGAATACATTCCTGGTAAGGTATAAAAAATACAAAGAAACGCAGTAGCAGCTTTGAAGAATACATTCTCACATTTTACTAAGAGCTCTCAATCATCCAAATCATTCAATTTAATCCAAATCATATTATCTTGGTACTTGGAACAATGAAGCAGATTTTTTCACTGGTGCATCTTTGGGGAATCAACGCCTACTTTACTTCCAATAACTGCCTTTAATTGCGTTTACTCTCATTCGAATATATCCATGTTCACTCTCATTCAACAAGTGCCTTTAATGGGTTAGAGTACATTGGTAAAACATTATTTATTAGTTAATAAATAAATCATAACGTTGTTTATAGAATCTCTCTTTTGTGTGAAAATATGACAGTTTTATACTTCAGCGCGTAGGGAAAGCTAGAAGAAGAGCAGGTGGAAGTCACTTACATTGACAGAGCAATACACCAAGCTTGCATGAAATGTTCCATATGGGGTGATACAAGCTCTGGACAAACCCATGCAAGTCTTCCAAGGGTGATAGCACTGTTTTCTATCAGTGACTTGTTGAGCCCCTTCTCACCATAAATATATTCAATGAGAATGACAATCCACAACAAAAGGTCGGGCACATAAACAAGTAACTTTGGGTTATCATTTAAAAAAAAAAAACTCTGATCAATCACATCAACAGTGATAATACATATCTGAGTCATGCACATATGACTAAATTAATATCATTTAGAAACCAAAAAATGTTCAACAGATAATTACCTCAGCATGTTGAAGAATTGGCACTAAGCATGATACTACAGTCAAGACTATTGGAGATATCTCCTTGGGAACCTGAAATTATGACATCCCATATAAGATCAAATTCTAAGTGATTCAAAAAAAAATACAAGAAAGTTCAAGTTATAAATGTGGGGTTAAACAGGGAGCGCAATTACAGTCAAATCAGAATAGTTGCAGCCAAAGATACATAAATTACTTCATACTCATTATCATTTGTGAGAAACCAAAACGCTAGAGAACAAGCAATAGCAGCACTAGTGAATCCAAACAGCACCTTGTGTTGCAGAATAATGAGATACAAGGGGCTCTCATCTGTCTCCTAACATTCTTCTGTGATAGGCATATAAGCGCATTTCAAAAGTACGGATTATAATGGCGCAGTGCCAACTAGACTTAAAAGGTAAGTTTTACAGAGTGGTTGTTAGACCGACTATGTTGTATGGGGCAGAGTGTTGGTCAGTCATTAATTCTCATGTGCATAAGATGAAAGTGGCGTAAATGATGATACTGATATAGATGTGTGGGCATACTAAGAGAGATAAGATCAGGAATGAAGATATTCGGGATAGAAAGGGAGTGACATCCGTGGTGGACAAGATGCAGAAAGCGAGGCTCAGATGGTTCGGGCATGTGAAGAGGAGAGACCCAAATGCCCCAGTACGGATGTGTGAGGTTAGCTATGGTGGGTCTTAGGAGAGGTAGAGATAGGCCGAAGAAGTATTGGGGAGAGGTGATTAGGCAGAACATTGCACATTGTCAGCTTACCAAGGACATGACCCTCGATAGGAGGGTGTGGAGGTCGAGAATTAGGGTAGGAGGTTAGTAGGTAGTTGCGCATTCTTCTTTTCCATACCAGTAGTATTAGTATGTATTCTCGTTTTTTCTTATTCTTAAATTTCTATTACTACTTGTTGTTTCTTTCGCTTCGATTATCTTATTAACTTATTGTCGTTACTGCTTCTTTTGCATGGCTTCTACCGTATTTCTTTTTCATTACTGTTATGCTTATGCTTTCCTTGAACTGAGAGTCTATTGAAAACAATCTCTCTACCTCTACAAGATAGGGGTAAGGTCTGCATATATACTACCCCAAAACTCTACACTATGTGAGATTACATTGGGTATGTTGTTGTAGTGTAATGGCGAAGAGCGAATGCGTTGGGCAAGACCTTCCTCCATAATGTTGCCGTACCCTGCTCCTACTTGTTGTCAAAGGCGAAAAGCTTTAAAAAGCGCCTTAGGTCTATTTGGGCTGTAAGCGCACTTAAAGTGTGGTTTTTAGTTTAAAAAAAGGCGCAATGAAGGAAATAAATAAAAATTTATATGTAATTCAAGAACAAAGTAACAAATTCATTCATAATGTTTCCCTTAGCAGCTAATACACCTATTTCTGATTATAGTTGTTATTTAGTGCTGCTTGATTCAAGAGAGAACTCATGGGCAATGAAGCACACGCCTTAGTACCTTGCCTTACACTGAAGCGCAACTAAAGCGAGGCGAAGCGCCCTCCCTGAGCTTCAGGGCATAAGCGCGACTTAAATGAGCCTTTGACAATATTGCCTGCTCTGCTCAACTCTTTTTCCTATTTACACCAGAGCCACCTTGCCTCGTCCCCCCTTTTCGGCCCATAATCATCTTCTCTTTCCATACTAATTTTTTTCTTTTCATTGTTTTTTTAGAAGGGGACCTTTGGAGTAAAGATAATGTTGTCTCCATGTGACCTATAGGTCACGGGTTTGAGTCGTGAAATCATCCCCTGATGCTTGCATCAAGGTAGGCTACCTACATTACACCCGTTGGGGTGAAACCTTTCCCCAGATCTTGCGTTATTACACCCGTTGGGGTGCGACCTTTCCCCAGATCTTGCGTGAACGCAGGATGCTTTGTGCATTAGGCTGCCCTTCATTGGTTTTTGATACTTGTTTCATCATTATATTTTTCAACCCTTATCTTTATTTTTTTTCTTTTTGGTGAAGTATGTTATGCAGTGGTTTACTAAGTTAAGAAACAGCAACTAGAAGTATATACATGAAGATGTAATAACAGTCAAAAAGTGATGCCGGAAATTGTCTAATTTTTAACAATAAGAATATGGAAGTTGGAGAAAACGAATTTCTCAAACAATTTACCTATTAACGAATTTAAAGAGAACGATTAAGTGTGACTTAACTCCTCTGATGGTAACCCCTAGATCATCCATAATTGTCAATTACTTTGATAAATGTAGAAATTCTCCGATCCATTTGTGTTACTCAACAATGAGATCAGTTGAAATGTTTTAGGCTTTCAGTAAATATGTGTTAGTCTACATTGCAGAACAACTCATAACTGTACATTCTGTATTGGAGAGATCGCTTTAGTAATAAGATATTCTCTATTGGAGAACTATTAAATGGAGAGTTGAAATTTTTGAAAAGAAAATTTATATGTAACTAATAAAGAAGTCCTAAATGGAAATTGAGAAAGATGGGAAATTAGAAGTTTATAAATTGAAAACAAAAACTTTTGTTAAAAAAATAAAAAATAAAAATAAAAAAGGAGCTAAAAAGTTCTGATACCCCCCCCCCCCAAAAAAAAAAAA